CAATTACATTTTAGGCTGTTATATTAAATGCCAAATGGATTTGTAATGACCCTCACTTAATATGCAACAAAAACAGGAGACTATTAGCAACTTTATTTTAAGTTTTCACTCCAAATATTCTTCTAACTCAAGAGCTCTGAAAACACAGGTTTTGTATTATTCTACCCTGGCTTCATGGCTAATGATGAATATACTTGATGAGGAATACTTCACTTTAAGTGGCAGTTTTGAAGTACTTGCATGGAAGGTGGTGCACAATTAAAATTATTCTAACAGTCTGTTATGCACTGTATACAAGTAATAAAATTAATGGATGCACTTCAAGTAATGATCCATTTCCTCTGGGTGCAATATATTTATTCATAGACTATTTCAGAGGTTGTTTAGAATATGAAATGTGAATGGATTATGATCCATTATCCCTGAAATTCTAATGTGCTACTACGAAATGGTTTCCATAAGAATTGTTCATAACGCCTGGTGAGTTAATGTTTGTGTTCTTAAGTAGCTAAGAAAAAATTAGAAAAACAGATGCTCAGTTGATACTTAAAACTTTGCAGGTATCTGCACTTATAAACTGTCTTGAAACCAAGTTTTCAGTTAAGAAGCATAATTCTATGAAATGCACATAAAACAATTATATTGAATAATAAAATTATTCACATGGGTGTATTTGCTGGGGAAACAGTACCTTTATTTTTCTGAAAAGTTTTAAGGGACTTTTTAATAATCTCATTACTAGTAGTAGATAATAGGTGGCCAATTAATTCATGAAGTTGAAGTAATAACATTTCCAATTTTAGTTGATCCCTCCTCCAAGTTTTTTAAATCAAATTCGAAGGAAAAGAGAATGCCTGGGTCTCTGTATTTGGCTTTTCGCACCTGTGACTATTGCTCCCCTAGTGTTTGTATTTGTATGAAATAAGCTATTGATTTGGTGTTGGGCAAGTTCACAGGTAAAGTGTGTTTATTTTGTACCTACTCTAAGCTGAGAATTCTATCAGATACTACCAGTGAAAACATTTTTCTTAGGGGATTTTATAGTTTAGAAAGACAGGATATACTCTTGTTGAGCAGGAAGCGTATTCATATATGAATTAATACAGTATCTCCATATAAAGCCTTAATAATAAAATGTCTGATTTTCTGCAGTCAAAATCATATATTATTTAGTGACATGAAGAAATTTCTGTTTTTAACTTTTGACATGGCTAGCCTTTGTAACTTGAATTTCAAATGATTATAAATTTATGACCGATTATTCCAAGATTCCCTAATAAGCTCTTATACATTCATTGCTGATTGATATGATTTCTTATAAAATGTATAAATATACTTTATCCCATATTAGTGTCATATTATATAAAATTACTACTATCGTTAAAAAATTTTTTATTATTTTTCACAAATGATCTTTCTCAGTCATTATAAACTCTTCTCCGGTCCCTAATTTCACCATTTGAAAGATCTGATCTCTTTTCCTTGTTTCCTATAGGTTCTTTTTGCATTTCTTTATATTAACATTGACTAATATTTATTGGTTGCCTGGTATATGTCATGTTTGGTGTAACAATTCACACATGTTAACTCAGAACCCTGATAGGTGTTCTATGAAGTCAATTGTATTTTTTAAAAAATTTTAGTTTATATTGGAGTATAGTTGATTGACAGTGTTGTGTTACTTTCAGGGGTACAGCAGAGTGATTCAGTTATATATACACATGTGTCTATTTTTTTTTCAGATTCTTTTTCCATTTAGAGTACTGCAGAGTATTGAGCAGAGTTCCCTGTGCTTTACAGTAGGTTCTTGTCGGTTAACTATTTTATATATAGCAGTGTGTACATGTCAGTCCTCATTCCATGGATGAAAAAAGTAAAGTCCAATAAGAGTACTTAGCAGAACCCAGTTCACTCATTTAGTAAAGGGAGGGGTCAGATTTGAACTTACCAGAGCTCTTGCTGTGAACTTTTATACCCTTTTGCCTGCCTTTGCCATTTATCCTAGTAAGAGATCCTTCTTGTACCTGTTGTTATACTTTCATTCCCTTTATTCAGTTATAAAAGTCAATATGCTTATAAGTGGAGAGTACTGTAGATTTCAAAGTGGAATGGTACTCAATTCACTTTTCCCATTTATATTAATTTCTTTTGTAGCAATGTTTAGCATTTGGACATATTTTAGGCATGACATTGAACTGATAGTTTTGGGTAATAATCAAGGACTTATTAAATTCTATCTCTGGATTTTATTAGGTGCCATAGAACTTACTGATACTTCAGTATAATTTGATTTGTATTTTGCTGATTAAATTAACATGCATTATTCATATGAAAATTAATTTATTATTTTTTCCAATTGCTTAGGGGTTTTCATATGGTTGACCTCAGGAACAGTGAGCTAATATTTTCTGTATTCCCTTATCATTTAGACTAATGCTAAATAAATTCAATCCAGCATCATTCTATCAGTACTTTTAATTTACTTTAGCATTTCTTGTTTGTCTATCACGGACTTGGACTACCAAGGACTCCCTTCTTCTGAGTGCTTATTCACATTTAATATATGCTGAAAATATTTCTCCTAAACATCTGGTCCTTTAGATCCATGGCACATTTTTGAGTCATTTTCTAACATAATTTACAGTTTCTACCCTTTGTATTTTTAAATTACTTCATTTTCCAGCAATAATATCAGCATTTTATCATAGTATTTTTTCTCAAAATGAGTGCCTATATGACCAGACATTTGGATTCTTCTCTTATACTTTGCAATGAATATGATCATTTTATAACTATAGTTTCTTAGTGGCATCCCTAGGAACATATTTTGGTATAATTATTGGTCACTGCTCAAAACCAAATTATCCCAAGCAGAATATCCCACGAAACATCCAGATGTCTCAATGTCTCAATAAAACCAGTTGCTTCCTTAACTACTACAAGGGTATTAGAGGAATAGTTTACTCCTACAAACCACAGGCTGCCTTTTATAGCTGTATATGTGGAAATAACATTTGTGGTTTGTTTTCTGCAATATCATCTTGAATAGTGTCAAACTCTGAAATTAGCGAAACTGGAGCTGTGCTTCAAATGAATTGAGAGATGTGGTTTGGAAGCATAGCATAATTTTGACAAAATAAAAATCAGAGTATCTGAGCAGAGTAAAGTAAAAGAGAATAAAATAATATAATTGTTGACTTCAAATCCATGTTTTTTATTCTCTAGAAGGAGGAAAGGGGAGGCATGTACAAGTTAGCAGAACTTCAGGCCTCATATTTGCTAGAGATGGTCTTCAGACTTCTTAATAACTTACTGGTCCTTTAACTAAATCATATTATCAGAAAGTTGTATAAAATGGACAGTCATAGAAGTAGATTCTCCTGGACAAGTTGGTCTTCAATAAATCACATTAGCCCCTTAGATACTTTAATCTAGAGGAAGACTCTTACACTGAGCTTATGATCTCTTTTGAGATCTGTGAATATATGTAGGAATAGGAAACATTTGAGTATTCCATATTTCAGAAATATTAGGAAGTTATCAGTGCTATTATAGCTATGTTTTTTTTTCCCACTTCTTTTTTTTCCATTTATTTTTATTAGTTGAAGGCTAATTACTTTTACATAGCTATGTTTTAATGTCCATATTATATTTAATATTTTTCTTTAGTGTAATTTATTAAGGAAGTTGCTATGTAAACAAATTGTGTGTATAAGAACATTTACATGTTGTGAACACTACAGAATTAATACAGAATTAATAATGTGATATTGGTGTACTCTCATTAGTACAACATTAGTTACATATCACACTTTGAAAAAAAAATTAAATGAGATGACATATGTTAAAAGACAGCATATTCCGTAAGACATAGTAGGTTTTCTAGAAGGCTAAAGTTGATAATGATTTGGTTATGTTTCCATTTTGCCCTTGATAGATTTTTTTCTGCTTACGTATTTCTATAGCTGGTTTTCAAATATTCAGATCAACCTCCACATTTTAAATGATGTGTAAATAATTTAAAAATCTTTATAATTAAAAAGATTATTTTTCCTAATGCTTGTTTTCTTTCTTTGGACTCATGGACTCTGCTTATTTCTGGCTTTGTATAGCATAAACAGATAATTAAATTGATTTTTTAAAAATACATGTTCACTTTTTACAAAATAGAAATAGAGTCATGGATGTAGAAAGCAAACTTCTGGTTACCAGAGAATAAGGAGAGGAGAGGGATAAATTGGGAGATTGGAATTGACGTATACACACTACTGTATATAAAATAGATAACTAATAAGAACCTGCTATATAGCACAGAGAACTTTACTTAATACTTTGTAATGGCCTGTGTGGGAAAAGAATCTAAAAGAGTGGATACATGTATATGTATAACTGATTCACTTTGCTGTATACCTGAAACTAACATATCACTATAAAGCAACTAGATGGCCAATAAAAGCCTTTAAAAAGAAATTGGGAATCTAAAATTTTATGTCCATATTTTAATTAAAGACATGTATGACACAGTGATCAATAAAAGGATTTTAAACAAAAAATCCAAATAATAACAATTCAACTAATTGTAAATCTTTTTAAAAAGAAAAATATAAGTTACTTTTTAGACCGTATAGTTTAATAATATACATGATATTTAACATTTATTTGGAAATATCCAAAAAGCTATTTGTCTCTAATCTTCCATCCCCCATCATAACTTTGTGCATTTTTTGTTTTTATTTAAATGTATTCTACTCTACTATATCTTATGTATCCTTATCTAGCACTTTGTTGTATTCACATTCTTTGATAAAATGCAGCTCCAGCAATTTGTAGTCAATAATGAGAAATCGTATTGATACTTCAGCTTCTTCAATAAATAAATTATTTATTTGAAATCATTCAGATGATGAATAGTTTTAAACGAGACAACATTGGTTTTCAGATAGTGTCTTTCAGTTTGTGGCTTCAGTGGATATATATATTTTTTAAATCTGTGTTTCTAGAGGGTGTTAATGCTGACAGTATCAAACAAGCCTCAGAACAACTGAACAGCCGGTGGATCGAGTTCTGCCAATTGCTAAGTGAGAGACTTAACTGGCTGGAGTATCAGAACAGCATCATCGCTTTCTATAATGAGCTACAGGAATTGGAGCAGATGACAACTACTGCAGAAAACTGGTTGAAAACCCAACCCACTAGCCCATCAGAGTCAACAGCAGTTAAAAGCCAGTTAAAAAATTGTAAGGTAAGAATCTTTGTTCCTATTTGGAGCATCATAAGTAGGGATTTCTTAGAAATTTCCAGAAGAAGAGCAGAGTACTTAATGATAAAATTTTCCTCTTAAGGGTTTAGTGAAACAAAGTAAAGATTAAAATAAAAATGACAAAACTCATTTAAAATAGGTAAAATATGGATAATCGAGTCCAGAAAAGCTTAGTTACACATAATTAATTGATTTTCTCAGATTGCAAAATGACGAGGCAGTATTGGAATGTGAGAACCACATGTATCCTATGGAAAGTGGAAAATAATTTGGAGCTCTTTCTTATAACGTTAAGAGGAAAACTCAGTCATCTGTTCAAAATGTAGAATCCACACAAACACAAGCAGCTGATATCCTATATAATTGGATACATGAGGAAAATCTTTTAAAATGGCAGTTATTAAATTTGGATAATTAGAGGAAGGTCATTTACAAAAATACTTTTTTATATGTGCTTGGAATATAGAGGAATCTCAAGGGATAGTACAGTAACCCAGCATCAGAGCTGTTATTATTCTTAAAATAGAAGGGATCAGGGAGAGAGAAGTTACAGAAACCCTGAAGATGAATTAGATGTCCATTGTAAAGACAGCTTTCAGAGCCAGTCCAAGTGCTAACACAGGAATGGAGCCAGAAAAATAGAGGCTCTGTTTTACTCTCTTGCTTGCCTCCAGATTCTGAACAGGACTCCCCATCAACTAAAATTAATCAGAAGTCAGAGGACAAAAAGCGGTAGTCTATAACTGTCATTCTCCTAGGTTACAGGAGAAGGTTGGGCTGTGTATCTAGTAGGGTAATCAAGATACAACACACACAAAAGGGCGGCGGAAGAGACTAAAAGAGTGCTCTGCATGTGTAAGAAAACAACGGATATATCAATAGAAACAACTAGAACTTTTTGCATAAGTAGTTACTACAAAATGTTAGTTTGCATAGTTAAAACACTTTTCATGGGAAGTAGGAAGTTGCTTACAGGATAGATGAAAAGGTTTCCAGGATGAACTTTAAGGGTAGCCTGAGGTGACTGGGTTTAATTTGAAAAGCAGTAAATGAGGGTTAATCTGCATACTTTGGAAATAATGGTTTAAATAATGGGAAACTGAAGATGGAGAGATGACAGGGTTGGTTTGGAGGCTATTGAACCCAGAAAGTGATGGGAAATTCAAAGTTATTTTGGAGGGGAAGTCAAATGAAGGATTTGATACTTCTTCTTCGCATAATGAAACTACAGCTTTACTAGGAAGTAAATACATTTAGCAAATACATTTTTGGATAAAGATACCATATAGTGAGGCATTTATTTTATTAGCAAAATATCCAAGTATAGGGAATTTCTTCTCCCTATAATTCTAGATACATTTGCATTTTGCTATTAAAGAATAGAATCCATGACTTTGTTCTGTGAATTAGTGGAATATTTCACCTATATCATTTCTTGCAATAAAAAAACTGATGTTCTTTAACCTGTTTCTTGAAATTCAAATATAGACATTAATTACATCTTCAAGATGCATTCATCCATAAAATACATATTCAGTGTCTCTAATGTGGCCAAGAGTGATATTAAGTGTATTAACTGGTTCGGGCTGCCATAACAAATACTGTCAATTGGGTGGCTTAAACAAAGAAGTTTATTTTCTCGGAGTTCTAGAGGCTGAAAGTCCTAGATGAATGTCTGGCAAGGTTCAGCTTCTGGTGAGAACTCGCTTTCTGGCTTGCAGACAGCTGCCTTCTCCCCATGTTCTCACCTGGTCTTCCCTTGGCACATGTGCATGGAAGGAGAAAGATCTCTCTCTCCTTGTAAGGCCACTGATCCTATCAGATAAAAACTCCTGTGTTTAAGGCCTGATTTAACCTTAATTACTTACTTAAAAACCTCATAGCCAATTATAGCCACCTTGCGAGGTTAGAGTTTCTGCACGTAAATTTGGGGGGGGGGCATCATCCAGTCCACTGATTCTCCCCTTGCCCCCTATTTATGTCCTTGTCACATACCATGAGCCCCCAAAGTCCAGAAGTCATAACTCATTCCACCATCAACTCTAAAGTCCAAAATCTCGTCATCATTTAAATCAGATATGGCTGAGACTCAGCATACAATTCATCCTGAGATAAATTGCCCCTCTGACTGTGGACCATTAAAACCAGGATGACATATGTGTTTTCAAAATATGATAGTGGGACAGGCATAGGGAAAGGCATTCCCATTCCTAAAGGAATAAAAGTAGGGAAGAAAGAAAGGATGATAGATCCTAATCAAGTCCAAAATTTAAGATTTGAGAATAATCTTCTCTGGCTTGATGCCCTTCCTTCCAATCCTGCTGGGGTGATAGTTCTACCGTTAGGACCTACTGGGGTGGCAGGCACTTAAGTTTTGTGAAGGTCAGAATGAGTTTCATTGATCCTACCCTTATAACATTATTGTAGAGTAGATGAGAAGATATTAAGTAAATGATTAAATAAACAGATATAAAATTACCACTGGGGCAAATGTTTTAAACAGAGTTCTGGGAGAATATCTAACAGGGAAATCCTGACCTAGACAGAACCACTAAGGGCAGCTTCCTTGAGGCAGGTACATTTGAGTTGAAATTAGGAGAACAGCAGGGAAGGAGGCTTCAGGCAGAATAAACATGGTGGGAGGGAGCAATAATGACCGAAGAACTGAAATAAGGCCGAGGTGAATACTGAGCATAAAAAGGCAAAAATGCAAGCATATGGTGGCTCAGATGGTAAAGAATCTTCGTGCAATGCATGAGGCCGGGGTTCGATCCCTGGGTCAGGAAGATCACCTGGAGAAGGAAATGGCAACCCACTCCAGCATTCTTGCTTGGAGAACCCCATGGACAGAAGAGCCTGGCTGAACAGCCAACACTTTGAGTTTTCACATAGGAGACAAAGCAATGACTCTTAGGGCACACTAGGTCCTTGGTCTTTTCTGAGAAGAGAATGGAGATCACTGGGAGTTATATATCTTAAATATTCCTTCAGGGTTAGAGAAGTCATCCTAAGTGAAATTAATTCTTTTTTTTCCTGCATTCAGCCACAAAGTTCCAAATTCTGATTATATGATTCCATCCCTTTTTATCACCCTTATTCTTTCTCTCTTCCCCGTTGGTTTCTGTTAATTTGATGTATCACCTTAGGTACAATGTTTAGCAGGATAGCTCAAGATCATTCACACAACAGTGAAATTGTACTACTTCATTGTGATCAGTGATAGGGAAATCGATTACCTCTTCCTATTTGTCAGTGTAGTCTGTTATTTGGAGATGTTTTTTAAGAGTAGGGTGCAGGTTTAACTCAGACTCTAATATTTACCAGAACTGTTCTTGACATGTTGAGGATTAGGGAGCACTTTAGGAACTGGAAGAAAACCATGGACATTTTCCTGAGAAAAATAAACGTTTTTCCAGGGTAAACATACAATTTTAAAGGATAAACAAACTCAGAGAACATGGCTTACTGTGGAGGACCAACCACACTAAGGCTTTTTTATGGAAATAATGAGTAACTGTTATCATTGTTAACATCTTTTAAATGTTAAATATTTGAGGTCAGAATGATATTTCCTATAATTTACTATCAGAACTTTAAGATCCCAGCTGAACGTTTGCCCAAATGTTTTATTAGTTTCAAAGTTCCCTTTGTTTCGCAGAGTATACTTTGCTATACTGTAGACTCCTTATATAGCCCCCTAAACAGGGAGAATGACGGCCTTCCATCTGGCCAAATGTAAATCGGGTTATTAAATGTTTCACAGCAGATGTCAACGGTACCATTTGCAAGTCTAGTGTACAAAGTGAATGTCTGTAATTCTATGATCCAAATCACAGAGTATTACCTTTTGCCTCTTTCTTATTCTTCGTCTATGAATATACACCTACCTTCTCGCACTTGATCAAAAGACTTTATATTTGAATGGGAGAGATGGGGGTCATCTCCTCATTTATTTAAATGTCTTTCATTTTCACCTACCAGATGAATCAACTCATACTGATATAATCACATACCAAAATTTCCCTGAAAGTTATCTTTATATCTTCTAAAAATAGATAAAATTATCTATGTGATAAACTTATTCATTCCTAAGACAAATTTTACTTTCTCTAAAAGAGTATGCATGCATCCAAATATATATATATATATATATATATATATATATATATATATTTAACTTTTGCTCTAATTTCCGTGAAGGTGAGATTTATATTTTGTTCATAGTTACTATAATTCTATAAATTTTCCCTTCTAATTGGCTTGTGTTTCCTGATAGCTCAGTTGGTAAAGAATCTGCCTGCAATGCAGGAGACCTCGGTTTGATCCCTGGGTCAGGAAAATCTGCTGGAGAAGGGAAAGTCTATCCAATCGAGTATTCTGGCCTGGAGAATTCCATGGACTGTATAGTCCATGGGGTCGCAAAGAGTCACACACAACTGAATGACTTTCAGTTTCAGTTGGCTTGTGATCCAATTTTTAAATTTAATTATCCTGTTTTTTATATTTTGAATGGTAAAGAATCCTGAAGTACTTTTTCTAGAGGTAGCATAGTTATGATTTCTAAGTGAACAATCATGGTAATAATACTTTAAAAAAAACATTTTTAATTTCTTTGAGTTCAAATTACATACATTTCAGATACTTATGAACTGCAACTTACTGGAGACAAAAGAGTTTGAAAACATTTATATTAAGAACAGCACCATTCTGAAGAAATCGAATGCAGGCTACAAATGTGAACTACATGTGTAATTTTAAATGCTCTAAAAATGACATTGAAATAGGAAAAAAAATAAGTCAGTGAATTTTGATAACATGTTATATTTACCCTGATATATCAAAAATATCATTTTAGGATTTAGTAATTATTTAAATTTATGTGAGTTTGTATTTTCATACCAGCTCTGAAATCTAGTGTATGTTTTATGATGACAACACATCTCAATTTGGACTAACTACTTTTCAGATGCTCAGTAGTCACAGTTGACTAGAGACTACTACACTGGATAGCCTGGCAGAATGTCCATGTGACTTGATCAAACAAATCAGAATAGTCTTGAGAGTGAAAAGGAGTGTTATTAACAATTATGCCAGGAAAACAAGAGTTAAACAGAGCAAAGAGTCCCTCTAATTAAAATGACAGCAATTGCCTATTCAGTCGGAAGAAGTAAGATCATACAAAGATAATTATAGACACAAGTGTGTGAGTGTATATACTATTAGTATGTAAAGTACAAATATATGTGTACATATATGATTATAATATATATTCTACATGCATAAATGTAATCTATATAACATTAACTTACATGCATATATTTGGCTTAATTTAATATATATGTAGACATATATAGATATGTATGTATATATATAATTTATATTCTACACAAATGAATTTAGAGAAGAAAATTGTTCATTGGATAAGCTTAGAATTTGAAGCAAAGGTACACAATTTTGAGATGAGAATTGTAAAGGAACATCTGTGTTTGATTTATGAAAAAGATGTAAGGTCATTGATAGTACTTTTCAACTGTATCAATCCATACCTGGTGATGTTCTAAATGATGTCATTTTGAAATTTAAAAATTGTTGTTTATGATGGTATCTGTAGAGTGAAGAGCCAAGGTATTCTCAAATTGATGACGTATGCTGGAGGCTCGCTTGAATCATCTTGGATGTTTGTTATCAATTTTTTGATAAAGGCCTTTAGCTAAGCTTTCATCACTGCCTTTCAATATTTTCCTTTGCAAAACTGTAATGTATGCAAAGTAACAGTGTTATTTAATACTCTAAATTATGGTACAGGATGAAGTCAACCGGCTGTCAACTCTTCAGCCTCAAATCGAGAGATTAAAAATTCAAAGCATAGCCCTGAAAGAGAAAGGACAAGGGCCAATGTTCCTGGATGCAGACTTTGTGGCCTTTACAAATCATTTTAACCAAGTCTTTGCTGATATGCAGGCCAGAGAGAAAGAGCTACAGACAAGTAAGTAAAAATACTTACAATGACTGACTTGGAATTTTCGTAATTAGTTACTTGTCATGAAAAGAGTAAGTACGAACTTGAAAGAATGATTTCCATCAAAGAAACCATGCTCCCTACAACCTGTAGTAACAAGTAATGAAATGCTATTGTAGGAAAACAGATATGTTAGATTTCCATTTCTCTCCCTCCATTATAATTTCATGACTATGAGAAATAAAGCATATGTTGTATATAGACATAACTTCTCCTTGGCAAGTTGCAAATTTTACAATCCGATGTTTGGAACATGGAAGGAAATAAAAGAGCAGTTGAAGCCCTGTTAGCAGGTTTTCATCAAATCCAGTTTGCTTCATGTACAAGAATATCTAGCTAGGTGTCTTGCTAATACTTCTATCAATTTATATGAAGATTATTATAGCTGTAGCATACATGTGGCAACTGAAACTCAGCCAAGGACAGATTATTCTTTGGGCTGCATTTTACTATTGGATCACTCTAACTATACCATATCTTCTTTTTTCTTGTTTACTAGTAAAATACAACATAACCGTGGAGCAATTATGCAGATACCTACCATATGACTAGCAAATTTTTCAGGATGTCTCTTTTGTCTTTCACCAATTTGCTCTTAGGATATTCATACACAGTCCAAATACCCCTACTCATCAGCCTACTTTTGAAGATAAAATTTCCTTTGACAAGCTGGTTTTTTAGCACGTTTAAGTATCAGTGAAAGGGTTTTTGAGTCACCATATACACATATGCATATGTATATATATGTACACACAGAGGAGTATAGAGTAAAACTAGATTTCAAAGCATTAAGATAAAAATATTTTTTAAAAGTTATACTTAGAGTTTTTATGAGAAGCACAGGAACATATATTTGTTTTCTACCGAGACTTTAAATTTGTTGGAACACGCGCATTTTTAATTGCTTTCCTTTGTAAATATGCAACAAATTTACCACACAATAACATTTCTAGAATCAGTATAGTGTAATATATGGGCTTTCCTCACTTTCTAATGTTTTTTCCTTTTACTTCCTGGTGAGGTCATGTATTGAAAAATGCATGCTTTCTTTTTTTTCCCCCTTTTACTTCAAAGTCATTTTTTGCTGAGAAGTTTATTTTACTGATAGGGAATGAAGGAATACAACTTTACAATCATGTCAGCTCCCTCTAGTGGATTTCAGTGTACTTGTTGCTGGGCTTCTCTAAAATCAGTTGGGGAAAAGACTGTCCTAAATTTTCAAACATTGACCTAATTAAGAATAATGCATTTCCATTATCATAAAATCCATAAACCTCCCTTAAAATCAAGTACACATTGATGGTTATACTGTAACTCGGCAAAGGAGCATATTCACTGAAATTTATTTTAATATATATAAACTTATTAAGGTTTAACATTTTTTTCTGGTTCTTTTAAAGGTATTCAAAATGTTGCTGTGTGATGACATATTGAATTATGATACTATAATATAAATATATAATAATATATACACTCTATCTATACAGCTATCAATATATTCGTCTATATTATCATATCTTCTCTTTTTCTTTCATATATATGATGATAGTTTATAAAAAACTGCCAAATATTTTCACTCCATTTTTGTCTAAATAAAATATTCCCCTTTCCACTTTAGTAAGCAAAATATCTCTAGCACTGTGATACAATCATTTGGAAAACTTGTTTTCAGTTCAGATCAGTTCAGTCGCTCAGTCGTGTCTGACTCTGTGACCCCATGAATTGAGCATGCCAGGCCTCTCTGTCCATCACCAACTCCCGGAGCTTACTCAAACTCATGTCCATCGAGTCAGTGATGCCATCCAGCCATCTCATCCATTGTCATCCCCTTATCCTCCTGCCCCCAATCCCTCCCAGCATCAGGGTCTTTTCCAATGAGTCAACTCTTTGCATGAGGTGGCCAAAGTATTGGAGTTTCAGCTTCAGCTTCAGTCATCCCAACAAACACCCAGGACTGATCTCCTTTCAGATGGACTGATTGGATCTCCTTGCAGTCCAAGGGACTCTCAAGAGTCTTCTCCAACACCACAGTTCAAAAGCATCAATTCTTTGGTGCTCAGCTTTCTTCACAGTCCAACTCTCACATCCATACATGATCATTGGAAGAACCATAACCTTGACTAGATGGACCTTTGTTGGCAAAGTAATGTCTCTGCTTTTTAATATGCTATCTAGGTTGGTCATAACTTTCCTTCTAAGGAGTAAGCGTCTTTTAATTTCATGGCTGTAGTCACCATCTGCAGTGATTTTGGACCCCCAAAAACAAAGTCTGACACTGTTTCCACTGTTTCTCCATCTATTTCCCATGAAGTGATGGGACCGGATGCCTTAATCTTAGTTTTCTGAATGTTGAGTTTTAAGCCAACTTTTTCACTCTCCTCTTTCACTTTCATCAAGAGGCTCTTTAGTTCTTCTTCACTTTCTGCCATGAGGGTGGTGTCATCTGCATATCTGAGATTATTGATTTTTCTCCCAGCAATCTTGATTCCAGCTTGCGCTTCTTCCAGCCCAGCATTTCTCATGGTGTAGTCTGCATATAAGTTAAATAAGCAGGGTGACAATATACATCCTTGATGTACTCCTTTCCCTATTTGGAACCAGTCTGTTGTTCCATGTCAGTTATAACTGTTGCTTCCTGACCTGCATACAGGGTTCTCAACAGGCAGGTCAGGTGGTCTGGTATTTCTATCTCTTTTAGAATTTTCCACAGTTTATTGTGACCCACACAGTGAAAGGCTTTTGCGTAGTCAATAAAGCAGAAATAGATGTTTTTCTGGAACTCTCTCACTTTTTTGATGACCCAGCAGATGTTGGCAATTTGATGTCTGGTTCCTCTGCCTTTTCTAAATCCAGTTTGAACATGTGTAAGTTCTCGGTTCACATATTGCTGAAGCCTGACTTGGAGAATTTTGAGTATTACTTTACTAGCATGTGAGATGAGTGCAATTGTGTGGTAGTTTGAGCATTCTTTGAGATTGGAATGAAAACTGACCTTTCCTGGTCCTGTGGCCACTGCTGATTTTTCCAAATTTGCTGAACAGTACTAAAAGGCAAAATGATAAGATACTGAAAGAGGAACTCCCCAGGACAGTAGGTGCCCAATATGGTACTGGAGATCAGTGGAGAAATAACTCCAGAAAGAATGAAGGGATGGAGTCAAAGCAAAAACAATACCCAGTTGTGGATGTGGCTGGTGATAGAAGCAAGGTCCGATATAAAGAGCAATATTACATAGGAACCTGGAATGTTAGGTCCATGAATCAAGGCAAATTGGAAGTGGTCAAACAGGAGATGGCAAGAGTGAGCATCGACATTCTAGGAATCAGCAAACTAAAATGGACTGGAATGGGTGAATTTAACTCAGATGACCATTATATCTACTACTGTGGGCAGGAATTCCTTAGAAGAAATGGAGTAGCCATTATAGTCAACAAAAGAGTCCAAAATGCAGTACTTAGATGCAATCTCAAAAACGACAGAATGCTCTCTGTTCGTTTCCGAGGCAAACCATTCAATATCTCGGTAATCCAAGCCTATGCCCCAACCAGTAACACTGAAGAAGCTGAAGTTGAACGGTTCTATGAAGACCTACAAGACCTTTTAGAACTAACACCCAAAAAAGATGTCCTTTTCATTATAGGGGACTGGAATGCAAAAGTAGGGAGTCAAGAAACACCTGGAGTAACAGGCAAATTTGGCCTTGGAGTACGGAATGAAGCAGGGCAAAGGCTAACAGAGTTTTGCCAAGAGAACGCCCCGGTCATAGCCAATACCCTCTTCCAACAACACAAGAGAAGACTCTACACATGGACATCATCAGATGGTCAACACCGAAATCATATTGATTATATTCTTTGCAGCCAAGGGTGGAGAAGCTCTATACAGTCAGCAAAATAAGACGGGAGCTGACTGTGGCTCAGATCATGAACTCCTTATTGCCAAATTCAGACTTAACTTGAAGAAAGTAGGGAAAACCACTAGACCATTCAGGTATGACCTAAATCAAATCCCTTATGATTATACAGTGGAAGTGAGAAATAGATTTAAGGGACTAGATCTGATAGACAGAGTGTCTGATGAACTATGGACAGAGGTTTGTGACATTGTACAGGAGACAGGGATCAAGACCATCCCCATGGAAAAGAAATGCAAAAAAGCAAAATGGCTGTCTGAGGAGGCCTTACAAATAGCTGTGAAACGAAGAGAAGTGAAAAGCAAAGGAGAAAAGGAAAGATTCTCATTTGAATACAGAGTTCCAGAGAATAGCCAGGAGAGATAAGAAAACCTTCCTCAGTGAGCAGTGCAAAGAAATAGGGGAAAACAACAGAATGGGAAAGACTAGAGATCTCTTCAAGAAAATTAGAGATACCAAGGGAACATTTCATGCAAAGATGGGTTCGATAAAGGACAGAAATGGTATGGACCTAACAGAAGCAGAAGATATTAAGAAGAGGTGGCAAGAATACACAGAAGAAGTGTACGAAAAAGATCTTTACAACCCAGATAATCATGATGGTGTGATCACTCATCTAGAGCCAGACATCCTGGAATGTGAAGTCAGGTGAGCCTTAGAAAGCACCACTGTGAACAAAGCTAGTGGAGGTGATGGAATTCCAGTTGAGCTATTTCAAATCCTGAAAGATGATGCTGTGGAAGTGCTGTACTCAATGAAACTTGTTTTCATTCCTTAATAATCATTAATTAAAATATGGATTATATATATTAATTATATGAAGTTTATATTTACACATAATTTGTATGTAGTATATGTATTAAATATTATTATAAATTGTGTATGCAATTTATAGTTGCATATATTATATAATATATATTATACATAGATTATATAATTTATATACATATTTTATGTAATATATATATGTATTATGTACACATATAAAAATGGTAAGTAAAAAATTCACCATGTCAAGTCATATTGCAGTTAAGTTTGTTAACTAATAATTATG